TCTTTAATTCTGCACAGCCTTGATTTTGTTTATGTCAAATAAAATATGATTAACTAACCTCACTAATGTCTGTTGGTAGAAGCTGAAATGTCCCTGTTCCCTCAGACTCTGACAAGTGGAGGCGTCTCTGTGTTGCTCAAAGAAGCTCTGCTTTTGATTAAAATTAATTATTGTCTAACTGAGCAATTCCTTTCCATTTAATGTCCTCAGTGGGTGTAATTAACTCAAACACATTCCTCTTAAGTTGTTTTGCATGAAGCGCATTTTCCCTCAAGGGATTCGTCTTCCCCATGAGACCAAGCAACTCTTCTGACACTCGTCCCTTTAACCTTCAAGCCTGTTAGTCTGTGAATTCTGATGTCTTCCTGTCTGTGGTCTTCAGGCTGATGATCTGTTCCCAGTGGAATATGTAGATGGACACCAACCACTGTCTTATTAGAGAATGTGAGGTCAGGGAAGTATGGAAGCTTATTTCCATCACAGAATTTTAAAAAAAGAAAGAAAGAACGGTAATTGTGATTTTTTTTTTTACAGTATCTCACAATTCTGAGTTTATATCTCACAACTGAGAAAAGTAGAACTGCGAGATATAAACCAGCCAGACTTGTGAGATGTAAACTCACAATTATGACATGATAACTTGCAGTTGCAAGATAAATTCTGGAAAAGTCAGAATTGTGAGATGTTAACTCAGAATTAAGAGAAAAAAATCAGAATTGCAAGATTTTAACTCTGAATTCAGAGAAAACAGTCAGGATTGCAAGATGTTAACTGAGAATTCCGGAGAAAAATAGTCAGAATTGCAAGATGTTAGCTAAGAATTCCAAGAAAAAAATCGGAATCGCAAGATGTTAACTCAGAATTCTGAGAAAAAAATACATAATTGTGAAAAAGTCAGAATTGCGAGATGTTAACTCAGAATTCTGAGAAAAAAATTGTGAGAATTGCAAGATGTTAACTCAGAATTCCAAGAAAAAAGTCCAAATCGCAAGATGTTAAGTCAGAATTGTGAGATGTTAACTCAGAATTCGGAGGGAAAAAAAGTCAGAATCGTGAGATGTTAGCTCAGAATTCTAAGAAAAAAAAAGTGAGAATTGCAAGATGTTAACTCAGAATTCCAAGAAAAAAGTCCAAATCGCAAGATGTTAAGTCAGAATTGTGAGATGTTAACTCAGAATTCGGAGGGAAAAAAAGTCAGAATCGTGAGATGTTAGCTCAGAATTCTAAGAAAAAAAAAGTGAGAATTGCAAGATGTTAACTCAGAATTCCAAGAAAAAAGTCCAAATCGCAAGATGTTAAGTCAGAATTGTGAGATGTTAACTCAGAATTCGGAGGGAAAAAAAGTCAGAATCGTGAGATGTTAGCTCAGAATTCTAAGAAAAAAAAAGTGAGAATTGCAAGATGTTAACTCAGAATTCCAAGAAAAAAGTCCAAATCGCAAGATGTTAAGTCAAAATTGTGAGATGTTAACTCAGAATTCTTAGAATAAAAGTCAGAATCGCAAGATGCTAACTCAGAATTCTGAGAAAAAAGACAGATTTGTGAAAAGTCAGAATTGCGAGATGTTAACTCAGGATTCCTTGAAGTCCAAATCGTGAGATGTTAACTCAGAATTCTTAGAAAAAAGTCAAAATTGTGAGATGTTAACTCGGAATTAAGCGGAAAAATGACAGAACTGCAAGAATTTAACTCGGAATTCTGAGAAAAATCAGAATTGTGAGATGTTAACTCAGAATTCCAAGAAGTCCAAATCGCAAGACGTTAACTCAAAATTCTGAGAAAAAAGTCAGAATTGAGATGTTATTTCCGAATTCTGAGAAAAAAAGTCAACATTGTGAGATGTTAACTCAGAATTAAGAGGAAAATTGTCAGAATTGCAAGTTGTTAACTGAGAATTCCAAGAGAAAAAATCAGAATCGCAAGATGTTAACTCAGAATTCTGACAAAAAAACATAATTGTGAAAAAGTCAGAATTGCAAGATGTTAACTCAGAAGTCCAAATCACGAGATGTTAACTCAGAATTCTGAGGAAAATAGCCAGAATCGCGAGATGTTAGTTCAGAATTCTATGAAAAATGTCAGAATCGCAAGATGTAACTCAGAATTCCAAGAAGTCCAAATTGCAATATGTTAACTCAGAATTCCAAGAAAAAAGTCCGAATCGCAAGATGTTAAGTCAAAATTGTGAGATGTTAACTCAGAATTCTGAGAAAAAAAGTCAGAATTGCGAAAAAGTCAGAATTGCGAGATGTTAACTCAGGATTCCAAGTCCAAATTGCGAGATGTTAACTCAGAATTCTTAGAAAAAAGTCCAAATCGCGAGATGTTAACTCAGAATTCTTAGAAAAAAGTCAAAATTGTGAGATGTTAACTCAGAATTCCAAGAAAAAAAAGTCAGAATTGCAAGATGTTAGCTCAGAATTCTAAGAATAAGTAGTGAGAATTGGAAGATGTTAACTCAGAATTCCAAGAAAAAAGTCCAAATCGCAAGACGTTAACTGTGAATTCCAAGAAAAAAGTCAGAATTGAGATGTTATTTCAGAATTCTGAGTAAAAAGTCAAAATTGTGAGATGTTAACTCAGAATTCTGAAAAAAAGCACCAGAATTGCAGTTAACTCAGTATTAAGGGGAAAAAAACTGAATTGTGAAGAAAAACATCCGAATTGCAAGATGTTAACTCAGAATTCTGAAAAAAAGCACCAGAATTGCAGTTAACTCAGTATTAAGGGGAAAAAAACTGAATTGTGAAGAAAAACATCCGAATTGCAAGATGTTAACTCAGAATTACGTCAAAAAAGTCACCTTTTTTATATTTCTATTCCATGTGACAATAAGCTTCCAAATAGGAAGAGATGTACTCATGAAAAACTGCACCTGCGCTGTCCAACCTCGACAGTAAATTTTCATTTGGATTAAAAGTATTGGCATGCTAGACGGTTTGACGGGGTCAAAGCTTTAAACACGGCATTATGGGATTGATTTTTTTAGTTTTTGATGGAGAGGGGGGTGTTTTCCACTGCGTTAAAAGCTTAATGGCACTCCCCAGACAAGCCTCAAACAAGGGTAATGTAGACAGAATTAAATGACTCTGTCTAATAAATTAGAAGAGCGTAGGCTGGTAAGAAACAGCAGTGGCTTCTCATTAGACCGAGTTTGCGAGTCTCTGGAGAGTGCTGGTTTGGAATATTATCCGGTGCGAGCGGCATTTCCCAGCAGGCTCTGGTTGCTGACACATGAACGTACTCAACCGCCCGTTGTTAGCGTGGTTGCTGTGTTTCCGCATTGTGTTCCCTCAAAAAAACACAAGAGGAGAGGATCACCGAATAATTAAACACACCCACTTTGAAGTCTGTTTTCTCGCCTCGGGATGTAATTCTTTTTCAGGATTTGTTGTTGTTGTCGCTCTGACCCAGAACTTAATGGATGTGGCGCACGCCTGTTAAAGCGTGTAACGCCTACAGTGTGAGCATCAAACAGCAACTCAGCAAATATCTTGTATATCTCACCTTCCCTCTGTATCTGGGATAATCTCTTATCTGATAACAAGGTCTAGTCAAACTGTGAATCATTTTTACTAGAGCTTTTCAACCAAGTCTGATTCATTTGATTCATTCAAGCTGTTATTTGATTCTTTTGGTGAATCAGTTGCTAATATAAGCAGATGTAATTCAACTTCAGTAAATTCTCCCACAACGCAGCCTACATAGTCAGTCCTTCGTATCATTCACTCTCACTCACTCATTGCTTTATTCCTGTCAGTCATGTCACAGTGTCAGTTGTGTACTGGAGCACTGCGCTTGTTACATATTAGAGCAGAGTTTTTATGTGTGCTTCTGTCTCTCTCTCTGCTCTTCCTCTTGCATGTCTGTGTCTTTGAAGTCTAGTGTCTGCTTTAATGAGTGTGTACTTCAGACTTGTTCAGCCCAAACAGCACTAGGTCTGCTGTCCTGAGGCCACTCCGCTCTCTCTTTCACCATCCCTCCTTTATTTTCCTTTCCTTTCCTTATCTTTCCTTTCCTTTACTTTTTTCTCTTTATTTTTTGGCCAATTCTTGTTTTTCTGTTATTATTCTCTCATTCCTTTCTTCCTTCTACCTGTCTTTTTCCTTCCCTTACTTGTTTGTTCTTTCTTTCTTTCTATTATCTTTTTTCCTTACTTAAGATGCTCATTTCACTATTCCTTCCTTCCTTCCTTTCTTTTTCTTTCTTGCTTCCTTTTTTTTAAATTTACGCCTATATGCTTCCTTCCTTGTTTCTTTCTTTTATTCTTCCCTTCCTTCTTTCTGTCCTTCCTTCCCTTTTTCCTTCTTTGCTTCCATTTACTTTGTTTTCCTTCCTTTTTTATTAATTTTCTTTGTATTTCTTTTATTTTTTCCTTTGTTCCTTCCTTGTTTATTTCTTTCATTTACTTTCATCTTTCTTTCTTTCTTTCTTTCTTTCTTTCTTTCTTTCTTTCTTTCTTTCCTTCCTTCCATCCTTGATTTGTTTCATTTTCTTTCTTGCTTGCTTTTTTGATTTAGGCCTACATATCCTTCCTTTCTTGTTTTTTTTTCTTTTATTATAACCTTTTCTTTTTTCCTTCTTTCCTTCCTTCGATCATTCCTTCCTTATGTCTTTCTTTCTTTCTTTATTTCACTTCTGTCTTTCCTTCCTTGTTTGTTTCTTCTGTCCTTCCTTTCTCCGTTTCTTTCTTTCTTTCTTTCTCTTCCTTCATTACTTTTCTCCTTATTTCTCACTTTTATTTCTTCCTTCCTTCCTTCCTTCCTTCCTTCCTGCATTACTATTCTCTTTATTTCTGACTTTTATTCCTTCCTTCCCTGTACTTGTGTTTCTTTCTTTCTTTTTTCATTTACTTATATCTTCCCTTTCTTGTTTCTTTCTTTTATTCTTTTCCTCCTTCCTTCTATCATTCCTTTCATTTCCTTCCTTCCTCTCGCTGTCAGTCACACACTCTCTCTCTCTCTCTCTCTCTCTCTCTCTCTCTCTCACTCAATTGAGCTCCAAGCTCGTTCACCCCCGGCAGCTTGTCTTCTGTCTCCTGGGAGGTGATACTTGGTTTTGATGTATAAATCATCCTCGACTGTTCAGTCTTTAATTAATGACCCCCATCTGTCCTTGCTGGGTGAGTTTGAATTTTAAAATGCTGACACACCAAACAAGCGCCTCTGCGACTGCCTAACGCAACAAGCCCCCCCGAGTAAAGCAAGCTATCAGCGCACAGAGAATAGGCAGTCTGACATAGACACCCTCAATAGCTCCGAGGTGCTTCCAGCCCATTTACCCAGCAGAGCAACAGAGATAAAGCACAAGAGAGGCTGAAAACCAGTTGCCGGACAGAGCAGGGGCAATAATACTTCCGTCCATCAGCAGGCCAGACCAGTAAGGCTCTGTGTGTATGTGTGTGTGTTCATAGGCTTTTCAAGTGAGCCCTGCCAGAGTTTCTGAAGCGGTTATGGAGGCATCAAAGACAAGCGCCGCGGTGAGTCACTGGCTGCCTTTTACAATCTATGTACTGGATGTGTGCAAGACAGCGTTTCAGGCCATAGACGGGGTGTGCGGGACGTGCAGGTGGACAGGGTCAGGCTGTATCACATATGCATGAATAGCCAACAACACAAAACAAGAGAACATAAAGGCTCTGTTCTCGCTTTTGTATGCCGATGTTGTTGTTCCCATCGTTCCCGCTTTTCAGTCCGCTCTGGCTTCTTTTTTGTTTCCTCTCATTTCATTAAAATCAGCTGTTCATCTCAGCGCCGTGTTCATGTCTTTCTCTCCTTTCTCCCGGGTCATCACTTCGTACAGCTGCTCATGTAGCATGGTGGGGTGGCTCTCTTTGAGTTGTCGCTGCGATTTCTCTCTTTATCTTTCCAACTTGTGTTGTAGTGAAGCATGTGCTACTCTTTTAACTAATTACACAGTTCTCCGCCTCTCACCATTGTGATTCAACACCAATGAAATTCATAAATCCTTTGTATGTAGTGTTAAACTCCATTACTCTACGATATGGGACAGTACCTCATCTTCCCTTTTTCGTGAGCTAAACAAACACAAGCGATCTCACAGTGACCCAAACTCACCAGTTCTGACCTCAAACCTCTTATTAAACTTTAATTGCTACAAACCTGTTTCTACAAAGTGTGCACTAGAGCTCATGAATTAGGACACCCTCCCCCCAGTGTGAAAGTCTCAGCCCAGCGCACACAGTTTCTCGTTAGTGACGATTAGTGGTTGTGATGTGGAACTAATTTGCTGTTAGTTGCTTGTTTTGAATCTAATCCGTCTTTGTGGGATCTCTGTGGACTCTGTATCATTTATCCATGCGCACCTACACTAACATTATCATCCGCACAGTGTTTTTCCTTAATTCGTGAAAAAGACAGATCGGGAGCATTGGGGAAAAGAATCTGCTGCCCTCGAAAAACACAGTTTTAATCCCTTGAAAGCAGATGTATTATGAGATACAGTTTTCAGTTCCAAATGTAGAAGCCTGTTTTCAAGCACTGCATTTTGGAAGTGGATGTGTATTTATATTAAAGGGACAGTCCATCCAAAAATGTAATATATGTCATTTATTCATCTTCACGTTGTTCCAAACCTGTTTGCTGTTATTTTTAATAATTTTAATGGCGTAAAATTAATATATTCTAATTGAGTTGTACACTACCAGTCAACGTTTGTGGTTGGTAGGATTATACTGACCAAGGATGCATGTATTTGATCAAAATTGGATCAAAATATATAAATATATATATATATTATTACATTTGAAAAATGTTGTTTTCTGTTTCAGTATATTTTTAAATGTAATTGTGATGCCATTACTCCAGTCTTCAGTATCACATGATCCTTCAGAAATCAATATGCTGATTTGGTGCCCCAAAAATTCTATATTGTTACTTTTGATCAATTTAATGCCTCCTTGCTGAGTAAAAGTATGATTTATTTATTTATTTATTTTATGGTATATCTCATATCTTGATGGAATAAATGGAAAAGCTTGACAGAAAGAGTGATTCATTTCATTCTGTCTAAATGCCATGTATCTGCCATTCCAACAGCAAACCTTGGGGAATAACTTAACCAATCTGGTGAAGAGGAACAGTGAGCTGGAGAACCAGATGGCCAAACTCATCCAGATTTGTCAACAGGTGGAGGTGAGTCCAGGCAAATTTATCATTATATATCACCACCATCATCATACTCCCTCACTTATTATTTTCCATAAATTAATTAGTTTGTAGTTTATTTTTAGTGACAAATGGTTTGTTGCCCTTTTGAGCTACAAATGCTTGTCAGAGGTTCAAGGCTGCTGCAGGGATGCAATTACAAAATGTAAAGAATAATGTATATATGAGATTTCTAATTTGTATATGATTGTTGCAGTTATATGGATGTATGTATGAATGTTTTATGTAATTGTGTGTCTGTTTTCCTCAAGTACCAATGAATGTTTTGTTTTAATTCATAGTCCAGTGTGTCTGTATAGGCAGCTTTTGCATGGCTTGTATTGACTTGAGTTCTGCATTGACATTCATTTTCTGCTTAGGCTAGAATAGCCTCCAAGAGTGTATCAATATGAATGCAGATTGGTAAATGCTTTTCTTGTGAATAAAAGAGACTAGCACTGTAGATTCAGTAAAATGCACTCATGATCAGTATAAGAGCAAGAACCTTAAATAGGCATATGTATTATTAAATGGGGGGGGGGGGGGGTCTCCTATTTATTAATATTTCACTGTGGTTTATCATTAAATGTGACTTTTATGCAGTTGCAGGAAAAAGTATTACCTGGATTCCTGTATATATTTGATCTAAACAGAAACAGACAATCTGCTCAAGCATGTATTATACACACAATGATAGATTTACATGAAAAGTGGAAGATGTATGTGAATCCCTGAGGTAATATCTTAGCTAAAGCTTATGTAGAATCTAATTATTGAGGCAAGATTGGAAGTGCTGATCAGGGTGAAAAAAATTTAGATTGCTATTCACTAGACGTATTGCCTGAGGTGAAACATACCTTGAACAAAAGAGATGTCTGAATGCTGAAGATTAAGAATTGTTGACGTACTTAAAGCAGAAATATCTCTACACGTTACTCATCAGTCCACAGTGAGAGAAATTGTAAATAAATGGAGAAAGTTCAGCAGTGAATGCTCAGTGATGTCAAGAAGCTTGCAAAAATCTCTGGAATGTGCTACCATACAGTAAGTTTCAGGGTTGTTATTAAATTGCATGCTTTTTCCGTATAATTCTGTGAAAGTTTACATGGTTTGCACAATAATGACATGAAAACACATAATTTGTTATTTAAGTAAAGTGTTTTTCCATTGTTTAATTTTTTGACAAATTTTTTCAGAAATCGATGATAAATCACAGCGTTTACACACTTTTTCCCTACAAGATTAACATATATTACGTATATCAATCTGTATCTATATATCTGTCTATCTATCTATATATCTATCTATCTATCTATATATATATATATATATATATATATACACAGTATATACATAGAATCTTTTTAAAGAATATTTAGTAAATTACAACAATCAAAATAAAAACAAATGATTAAAAAAAAAATGAAATATTATACCTGTTTACCTGCATGTCATGTGACCATGTGAATAGTATGTAATTACAAGTACTTAATTTTTGGAACCTGATTATGTAATCCAGATTACATGTGATCGGTTACTAGCACTATATATATGTATATATACTGAACAAAATTATAAACTTTTGTTTTTGCCCCCATTTTTCATGAGCTGAACTCAAAGATCTAAGACTTTTTCTATGTACACAAAAGGCCTATTTCTCTCAAATATTGTTCACAAATCTGTCTAAATCTGTGTTAGTGAGCACTTCTTCTTTGCCGAGATAATCCATCCACCTCACAGGTGTGGCATATCAAGATGCTGATTAGACAGCATGATTATTGCACAGGTGGGCCTTAGGCTGGCCACTATAAAAGGCCACTCTAAAATGTGCAGTTTTATCACACAGAATGCCACAGAAGTTTTGAGGGAGCGTGCAATTGGCATGCTGACTGCAGGAATGTCCACCAGAGCTGTTGCCCGTGAATTGAATGTTCATTTCTCTACCATAAGCCGTCTCCAAAGGCGTTTCAGAGAATTTGGCAGTACATCCAACCGGCCTATATTTGCAGCCACAGCTTGGTAGTGATGTGACATATTTATGCACACATGATAAACAGTCCTTTTGAAAGTCAATTAGTACCCTTTATCTTTAAATCAGAGCTTATTAAAGGCACGACAAACAAGGCACCAGGGATATATTTAGGCCTTTACTTGATGTCACCTTGAACATCAGCTGAGCGAGTTACTCCAAATATGACTCAAGATCAGCACTAAGACATCAGGCACAAGGGAAATTCATATGCGAGCGTCCTTTTTAATGACTCTGTCAGGATGGTTGTCCTTGCTGTTTGAGAAAAGAAAGCAGGTGACAAGGCATTGTTACTTCATTAGCTGAATCAGTCTTGTTGAACCCCGAGGGGACTGCATGCGTAGCACGTCTCTAACCTCAGCTGAACCGCACATAAAAAACGTCTGCATACCACCGGCTGCTTTGAGCACTTGAAGAATGTAGCTCACACCTCAGCTGAGAGAGTTGGAGGCCATACATTTTAAAGCATTTAAAAACAGCTTTCTGCAGTAAATACCCAGCTGCATATAATATATTGAGTCGAACACTCTCAAGGTGATTTAAAATGGTTAAACCTATCCGAAAAATAAATAAAGTATTAACTGCATCCCATGGTGTTTTCTCCTTAATTATTAAAATCTAGATCAATTATTCAAGACTGACTGTTGTAAGAATGTTCACCAAACAGCTTGTCAGTCATCAGAAGAACGTCTTCTTTGTGACTAGGCCCTCTGTGTCATGTTTATTGGAAAGCCACAGTTAATTATTGAGTAATGAATAAGTAAACCAGATTTCAGGGACACTGCAAATTAAATGTCTTGGAGATGAAATGCTGAATGTTCGACCCAAAATCCCTCAGCTGTGAACTTTGGTCCTCCTTAAAGCTGGCAAGAACAGGAAATGTGCATCAGTTTTGATCCTCAAGCAGCCAGTTAAATTATAGTATGTTGCTTTTCATACTTGTAATCATGATAAAGTGGATTTATGTGCTTAAAGGAAGGTTGCAGGTTCAGTATACTGTAAGTTCAGATCTGTCATCCCTGTAAAATGGTGATTTAAACAACTTTACAACTCAACTTGTGAACATTTTGTAATAGAATATATGGGTATGACCCATTAAGATGTCAGTCAGCGAGTGCATCATCTGGAATGCATCACTTTCTATTTTAAGGGTCACATCTGTAAATATCTGAAAAACGTCTCAAAGCCGATTCACACGCTCTGTTGTGAAACATCTGCAATATCATTCTAGCATTCAACAATGAATGAATGCAATGTATTGCAGATGCAAACTCTTAACAAATGACGTCTTCCAGATAAAAACACACATCAAATAGACCCTTCGGCATTCGTGCAGCATCAGAGGAACATCTGCAGAGATGTTTACAGGGGTCTTTGTAAGCATTATGTGAAAAATAGTGTCCATGGCAAGGTTTTCGATGGACTCCATTAGACAAAAGTGTCACTGCTAACAGTGAACAGTGAAGGAAATGTCCTGAGAGAGTCTGTGTATAAATAACTCATGAGTGATGCTGTCAAGGGACCAAAGGTGTCTGGGGAACTTTGCACTTTCAGTTGGGAATTTCCATTTTTACCTTTAGTGATTTGAAGCCTGGATTCCATCACTTCCTTCTTTGACATTCCAGGTTCCCTCTCTGGGCCGCTGTGGCTTATTAGCCCTGCGGTGCAAAGGGCCGCTTTGTTGTGTTGCTGTTCCACCGAGTAGACATGTGTGCAGCAGTGTGGTGAGGGCCGCCACGCTGTGATGCATATGTCTCTCCCTCATCCATTTTTAACAGGGCCACTTGGACTCTTCAGCGATGAGGCAGACCCCATAGGGGCGTCTTGTACAGCCATGCACTTAGAGCACTCAGACCTGCCCCATCTGTCAGCATACGGGCAAGATACACAGTAATCAGAGCTGCCACAAAAACAGACCTCTGCTCAGTGGCATCTGTTCAACAGCACTTAGATTGTTTATGTACCCAAAGTGAACCACTGGAGCTCATTAACGTCCTTTTTATGGTGGCCAGTGTCTTTCCCGCCCTGTGGATTAGCAGATTAAAGATGTGGCAATATGAAGAGATAAAGGTCAGGAACTGATGAGCCTTGTCAATAATGAGTCTCGCGCAGTCATTACATGCAGCGCACACGAGCATCTGGGCTTAATCCGAAAAATAAATTGCTGAAGTGTGTGCAGACATTTTTGAGTCTTTTTTTATTACATGTGCAAAAAAGTATTTTTTTTCCCCTCAGAGCCTATGCTGGTGGAATAAGACATGGTAAAAACATCATTATTTTGACTTATTTTCTTAGTGTCTAACACAGTTTTGCTTCTTAAGTAAATGTATCTTGGTGTAAGGATCTTGAGATATTTTTACAGGAAAAAAGACAAAAAGAAGTGTTGAATTTTACTTATGGATTTTTTTTATTTTTTTGGTTATTTTTATTTTAACTTGGATGCGATTAAGCACGATTAATCGTTTGACAGCACTAATATATATATATATATATATATATAT